TTTCGATCAAAAGAGGAAGAAAAAAAAATCTGTGCAAAGAAAATAAAAAAAAGAAGAATAGAAAAACTAGTTTTGACGCTCACGTCAAAACTGAAGGCATACAGGTAAAGTCCATCCAATCCTTATCCAACAAAAAAAAAAAGAAAGTCCAATCCTATTAGGTTAAGGCTTTCCCATACCTATAAATATAAGGACTAGGTCCATCTCTTATACAAAACCCAGGCACAAACACAATCCATCCCTCGTTCTCTCTCTCTCTCTCTCTCTCTCTCGCTTGTAAATGGTGCTCAGCTCACATCAGATGGGTTCCTTTTTGCCCTTAGCGGTTCCTCTTGATGACGGAAACCTTGGTCCTATTCCAGCATCCCAAGTGAAGGATGAGAAGCAATTGGGTGAGGAGGTGAGCAAAACCACAACCAACTTGTCTTCTTCTTCTTCTTCTTCAGTTTCGACGCATACTAGGGCTATTGGGATCATTCATCCTCCCCTAGAAATCAGAATCGTTCTTGACAAAACTGCCGAATTCGTGGCAAAGAATGGACCCGGATTTGAGAAAAGGGTCGTTGCTGAGAATACTGGAAATCAAAAGTTCAACTTTTTGATTTCCTCAAGCCCTTTTCACGCATATTATCAGCATCGCTTGCTTGAGTTCTGTGCTCAAAATCAGTCTTCTGGACAGCAAGAGCAAGAGCAAGAGCAACCTTCTTTGCAGCAGCCTGCAGCAGATCCCTCTGCCCAGTTTAAACCAGTGCTCAAAGTGCTCGAAACACCCGAAGCTGAGGAGTATACTGTTCGGCTTCCTCAAGGAATTACTGGGGAAGATTTGGATATTATTATGCTCACTTCCCAGTCCGTGGCTCGAAATGGGAGATCGTTTTTGACAGGATTGGTAAACAGGGAAATCAATAACCCCCAGTTCCATTTTCTGATGATTCCTACCCACAGAATGTTTACGTTTTTCTCTTCTCTTGTAGATGCGTATTCGAAGGTGGTGATGCCGCCCAAGGGTTTGACAGAGAAGCTTAAGAAAAGTGTTGCAGACATGGAAACTGTGCTTGAAAGGTGTGTGCATCGGCTGGAGTGGGAACGTTCACAAGAGCAGGCAAAGCAGAGGGCTGAAGATGAGATTGAGCAGGAAAGGATACAAATGGCTATGATTGATTGGTATGATTTTTCTGTGGTTGAAACAATAAACTTTGCTGATGATGAAGACGAGGATTTACCTCCTCCAATGGCCCTTGACGAGGTTATAAGGAGAAGCAAGGTCACTGATATGGAAGAAGATATTGTTCAGCCTGGTGAGCAGGTGGAAATGGAAATGGATGAAGAAGAGATGCAGCTTGTTGAGGAGGGCTTCATGACAGAGGATCCAGAACCACCACTGAGAATTGTGAACAATTGGAAGAGACCCGAGGACAGGATCCTTGACCAAAGAGACCCAACAAAGTATGTCATTTCTCCAATCACTGGGGAGCTTATCCCCATCAATGAGATGTCTGAACACATGAGGATTTCTCTAATTGATCCAAAATATCAAGAGCAGAAAGAAAGGATGTTTGCTAAGCTTCGGGAGACTACGCTTGCTCATGATGACGAAATCTCAAGAAACATTCTGGGCCTTGCACGAACCCGCCCTGACATTTTCGGTACCACAGAGGATGAAGTTTCTAACGCTGTCAAGACTGAGATTGAAAGAAAGAAAGATGAGCAACCACAACAGGTCATCCGGGATGGTCACACTGGAAGCACTAGCCGCACAGAAAATCATGTCCTTAACAATGATGCAAGGAACCTTCCTGGTCCTGCAGCTCCTCCTCTGTCTAGACCCCCAGTTGTCCAATATCAATCAGTTAGACCACCCCCACCCGGTTCTTGGTTTACAGTCATGCAAGTTCCCCGAGCTTATAACCCCCTTGCTGTTCCTCCACCTACAATACAGATGATGCCACCACCACCTTTGCCTCAGGGGATGCCTCCACCACCACTTCCAGAAGAACCTGCGCCAAAGCGGCAGAAGCTTGATGATTCTACGCTTATTCCAGAAGATCAGTTTTTGGCACAGCATTCGGGACCTGTCCACATCACAGTATCCGTCCCCAATGTTGGTGAAGGTAATCTGAAGGGACAACTTTTGGAGATTATGGTGCAGTCTTTATCTGAAAATGTTGGAAGTCTGAAAGAAAAAATCTCTGGGGAGATCCAGCTTCCTGCAAACAAGCAGAAACTGAGTGGAAAACCTGGTTTTCTCAAGGAAAATATGTCGCTTGCATATTACAATGTTGGAGCAGGAGAAACACTTACTCTTTCATTAAGAGAGCGTGGTGGAAGAAAGCGATGAAACAGATTATCTAACCAGGGCGATTAAGGTTCATGCTGAACCTTTCTTGTTATTATGAGAATATGCAATATATCATGTGGGACTAAAAATTGTACTTTATTGGATAATTTTTCTGAACATATTATTGTTGTCTTTAAATTGTTGCTAGGTGTCGTATCTAGTACAGATTTGGTGCCTCAGCGAGTGTCTCTGGAGGACAATGGGAAGTAGATCAGTTCCTTTTGCTTAGCCAGAGCAAGTCATTTGCTTATATATCTAATTACGGCTCTTTTTTTGCAATGCAGTTTTTTTCTCTGGAAAAGATGTGCCTCATAGTCGTATTATGGCTTTGATATCCATAGAAGCATGCTTGATGTCAGAAGACCCTTGTTTGTTTAAATTATTTTTGATGTTCACTTCAAATTTTGTTGCTGAAATATTTTTCTCTTTGATGAATATTTGGTGTTTTGGGCGTTATCTAAGTATTTAGTTTCATTTTGTAGGGTTAAGCTATACTGTGCACTTATCAAAGGGGTGATGCCTCTAGAAACTTGTATTGTTTTGTACTCATGTTATCCTTGAACCAGCCAATAGCAAGCAGTGGCTGGGAGAGTTGGGGTTTTCTCATGTGCCAGCCAATAGCAAGCAGTGGCTGGTAGAGTTGGTGTTTTCTGATGTTGGTTGTTAACTGCAGGACAAACGCTTAGAGCTACTTGTTGGGACTCATAAAATGGTCTGTGCAACCAGTTAGATGTGTCTTCTTATTTAAGCATCTAAGCTAGGTAAGATGCTTTCTCATCTTTACCATTTTCATGTAGAATTCCTTGCTCTTTTTCCAACTCTGATGGCAATCCTTATACATGCCATTTCTTTTTGCACTATGGGCTGGAAGGAACCACCGGGTTTGATTGCAGTACCATGTTAAAGGAACACTTAGGATTTTATATCTTTGTATTTTCTCTAGGATTATTAGAGAAGGGTTACATAGCTTCCCATAGGAAACCGAACAAGATCTCTGACTTACGGTTCCATATCAGCACATTAGCCATATTCTATCATGATTCATAACTACAACTCAATTCATAGCTATTTTTTTTTTTGCCGTATACTGTTGAAATCCCCCTGAACTTGTAGCTACTTTTCAACTAGTGTAATCTTTGTTTTACCGTTGATCCGTATAGGTTCCACATCTCATCAATGGGTAGACCTTACCAAAATCCGATGGAAGAATACTGGTTCATGCATCATCACTTTCGATGGTCATTCTGTAATCGGTTTTAAGTTACCAAAGCAGCGTGCAAGTAACCTTTTCGTGTCAGTTTGAGCACCAATCTCTTATAGTCACATAGCTAGTTGTAACTTGGATTGTAGTGTGGTGGATGTAAGCTGGTATTTGGTGAATGAGCTTGACCACCAGTTGGGTTTATGAGTTGTCTTGGAAACAGGGTGGTTGTTGCGTCAATATAGGCATCAAGGAAAAGATTGCAGAAGTCAAGAAAAGAAGAAATTGCATTGAATTAGGAAGGGTCATGAATCGCATTGTGCTTGCTTAAGTGTGATCGAAATCACAAGTGAATTACATATATTTCTAACTTAAGAATTAATGACAAGTGACTTGTAGCTCAAGTGATTAAGAGTAGTTACCCCTACACCCTGAGGTCTTGTGTTCAAATTCCCCCTCAATATCGCTTATAATTACAGTTGTATTGTATCCATGATATTGTCTTTGCCTTGTAGGAAAATCTTGGTTGTGTTGACAAGTTTCAACAGAGTTGTTTTACTTGTTATTCTATAATAAAAATATATATGGGGAAATTGAGTTGGCCAAAGAAGAGATTATTAATGTGGGAGATGTGCGTCTCGTCTTATTATTTGCATATGAATTATTGGAGGATTAGCTAACCATTATAGTCCTCTCACTAAAGACAGTTCATGGAGTTAAATTATTCGCCTTTATGGTTACGAGGGAAGTCATAGTCTGTTTACTTTTTGTTGGGTTTAATTATATAATAGTTTTAGGGGAATTTTTATTTAAACTTTTCTGTGTTATGTAATTTTACTCGTGTAATTCTTCAGTTTTTTTTAATGAGAAAACAGTTTTGTAGTTTGTTGTTCTCTATTGATTTCTTACCAGAGATGGCATCTACTACCACAACAAATATATATCCCAGAAATATAGCTGTGTTTTTTTGGTTGCCAAAGTTAGGAAGAGGGAGGGGTGAGATTCACATGGGTACCGCGGGAGTTTGAACCTAGGACCACTTGAGAGCACACCAAAGGCCTGAGCTAATCCAACTAACACCCCAATGGATTAGAAAAATAGCTGTTTGCTTTGCCATATATGGCTAATTAAATTATGAGATATTAATCTCATTACTTAGAATTATGAGATATTTTTGCAGTCAGGTTTCTTTTCTTATAAATAATGATTAATTAATCTAGTAGACACAGCCACAGGTCTGCAAGCACACCATAAAGGACAAGAGTTTTGCCCTATCTAGCCATACTTCTTCACAAATAGTATAGTATATACAAGTATATATTACACTGTTCACTACTACACATGTAAAATATCATAATGTAAAACAATTCCACACATATATATTTACTGCTTAGACACTAATCACTATAGGCGAAAACCCACCAAGAAGTTTAGAAGAAAAATTAAATAAAGGAAGCGCATGCAGTCTTTGTTAATTGCTCCTCTAAGTCTGTCTATTGGCAATGTAGTTGGCTAAACAATATAATGGGGCAGCCATAGCAGCATCAAAATGAGTAAGCTCTTCTATTGCTTGAGCCACCAACTTAGCAGCAAAATTCTTTGCCCCTTCAATGCCCATGAGCTTTGGATATGTCGCCTTATCGCTTGCCAAGTCCTTCCCAGCCGTCTTTCCCAATTCCTTTGACGACTTTGTCACATCCAAAATGTCGTCAACAACTTGAAACAACAACCCTATGCACCTTGCATACTTCCTCATCCTCTCTACCTCACCTTCATTCCCTCCTCCAATTATTGCCCCGCAAACCACCGAAGCCTCAAGGAGCTTCGCGGTTTTATGCACATGTATGTACTCCAATTCTTCTAGTGTCACTTCTTTACCTTCACTCAAAACGTCGACAATTTGACCCGCCACGAGGCCTGATGACCCTACGGCTGAACCAAGCTCGGCAATGGCCCGAACCACGCGTTCAGGGGAGACCACTTTTGTGGTCTTAGCCGCTATGTGCTCGAAGGCAAGGGAGAGGAGGGCATCACCGGCTAAAATAGCGGTTTCTTCCCCAAAAGCCTTGTGGTTTGTGGGCTTTCCGCGACGAACATCGTCGTTGTCCATGCAAGGAAGATCATCATGAATAAGTGACATGGTGTGGATCATTTCAACGGCACAAGCTGTTGGGATTGCAAGAGACTGATCCCCTCCAACTAATTCACACGAAGCAAGGCATAGAACTGGACGCACACGCTTTCCGCCGGCTAAAAGTGAGTACCTCATTGCCCTATGGATTTTCGTGGGGTATTGCAAAGGCACAGCCTCATTCAAAGCTTGCTCCACCTTCTTTGCCTTCATGGACAGGTACTCATCAAATTGGAATATGGGCAATTGGGTAATTTCAAATGGTTTGGGGAGCAATGGTTGGACTGAAGATGAGTCAGCAACTTGTGTACGAGTGGCCCTAATCTTCAAGGAAATGAGCCTGAGGCTACCATTTGATGTTCTAGGTCTAGGACTTTTGTTGAGACCAATATTAGGGTTTCTGAGGAGGAGTGAGTTTTCATAGCTTGGAATTGTTGAGAAAATAGCCATTGATTGGAAGACCAGAATTCCTTGTTGATATTGATTGTTGGGTGAACCGTGGCCTTGTGGGGAGTTATAAACTAATGATATAGAAGAGATTAAAGAAGTAAAGATGCCGTTTGAGATGTCAATTTCCATAGCTCAGAGTTATTCCTTTTGATCTGGCTTGGACTCTAGTGTCTCATTATTTATTTATTTGGACGTTAACGTTTTGGATCTTGTTGTGGTGATGACAGTTGGTCACACTCTATTTGAGATTTATTTATGTATTTCCTATTTGATATGCAAGAATTTGAATTATTTAATTTGACTAATTTAAGTATGCACCCGTCATTGTGTTGCAATAGTTTTGGAATTGATGTTGTCATCTACGATATTATTATCTTTGGCTTGTCGGAAAACCTTGAATATGATACAGCCAGCCCTGTTTGATTCCGAACCTGCTTAGCTTGCCTACAAGATTAGATTCCCCGAGGAAACCAAACTCCCATCAAGCATGCATGATGCATCGCGACAGATTGTTTTCCAAAAGAAAAATTCTCAAGATTTTGTAACATTGTATCATGCAATATGCCAATAGTAAATACTAGAGAGAGAGTCGAACACATTACCTTAGTATATATTTCAAATTTGAATACAAATTTGAATACTTTCTTTCGTGAAAAAAATAAATATATATTATTGATTGCAGAGTTATGAGTGAGGGTCAATTAATGAGATTAATTAGTTTTTAGCAATCATCAAGCACTAACTATACCCTTGTCTCCCTTAATTAAGCTTCTGAGATTGATTGAAAAAACAATGGTTTTCTCTCACACCTATTTCTTTCTCAGATTCATGTGTAATGGAAAACATTTGCTGGTTTAAACTACAGTAATTTTCAACATTGGACTAACAAAGAATTTAGTATGGTGACTCAAATTAAGCGCACACGCACATTTTTGCACTAATTAATATTAAGTGTATTTTTTTCTTTTGAAATTTTAGATTTATTAATAGAGCAAAAAGATCTAATTAAGTACAATGAGAAAGTAGGAAAAAACCACAATAAACAGGAAAAGCTAAATTGATTTCTGTAGGAAAAAAGTTTCTTAATTACCAGGATGAGGATACTTGGGAGGTAAGTACAGCATACGTGGGAGTATATTCCTAGATTTGTGCCCCAAACTTTTCATGCCAAAACCTGACAGTTTGACATTAAAATCCTGCAAAAAATAAACAAAACACAGTTAGTTAATATAATTAAGGGTAATCCTAATCTAATATATATATATAGTTAATTGAGATATAAAAAATGAATTTAAATACCCGGCCTAGGAGGATATTAGCATCCTTAAAATAGGGTATAAATACCATTGGCACATTATGCAAAAAAGCCAGTCCCCTCGCCACTTGAACAACTATGGAGATTTGGTTGTCCCCAGATAAAGTGACATTGTTGCTTGCGAGGATATATCTCAAGCTTCCTTGTTCAATTGATAGATACAAGACAAACACAGTATCGAAAGAACTATCGAAGCCATATAGGAAATTATACCTAGAGTACAAAGAAGATGGAGGACATTTTCATGAACAAGCCTCTTTAACCATTTTTGCTCTCCCTGTCAAATTCCAATACCAAAAAATTAGGACAATATAATAAGAAGTAAAAAGTCTCCGAGTTCATCAAATCTATATTTTCCTACTCATTAGGTGTTGTGATAACTATAAGAGTATTGCTAAATGAACCCTAAAATTAACTGAGTACACTCTACTATCAAAGTATTTATTGAATTACTAATTTATCATAATATAAAATGACAAAAAAGGATATATAGAATTGTGAAATAAATATAATTTTAATAAGTACACCCTACTCATCATATTCAACCCTAATCAAACGTAGAGAAGTTTTTGTATAATTTTAAGGGCCTTTAATGCTTCAAAGGCTTAGAGCTTCCTTACAAACACGAGAAAGACAAGTGTCAGCGTTTCTCCATGTACTTGATTATTCATGATGCAAAAGATGGGTAGCCATATTTGAATGAAAAAGTTTGTTCCAGTCTGACTTCTTAGCTCAACATCATCCATACAATAAAGTTGAAGTGGATGACTTTAAAATCCCAGGGTTTAAACTTTTCTTCTAACTTGGAAGCATCCAAAATTCTCAAGGATTTTAGACTGGTGATGATGCATTTCGCTAGTAATTTGACAGAGATGTTTGAGTCCCCTCCACATATTTCGAAGAAAATCACAAGGATTTACAAGATTCAAGCTTCGAATTGAAGGAGTTAGCAAATCTACCCCCACAACAACTTACGAAATTAAAGATTTTGATGCGAACCCAAAATCTGAAAAGAGGACACAAATTCATGTAAAAAGAGAAACCTGGTTTAGGATTGATATTAGGGTGTTGTGTATTTTGGTAGTTAAATAGGGTGTATTTAGTTAATTTTACATTTTGATTAAGGGCAATGATTTCCCCACTCCTATTTTATCCACTTACACTCCTTTTTTAGTTATAAAAAAGGAGTGTAAGTGGATAAAATAGGAGAAAAAGGAGTGGGGAAATCACCACTCTTGATTAAAATAGTAGCACTCTAACTATAATGTACAATCAAGCAATAGGCCAATTGATCACATATAATAAATTGATTCATATATGACTATTAAATCTTCATCAATAGTATCTGTGTTTAATCCTCACTTGTATTAAAGTCACCAAATCCGAGGATTGAACCCAATCTTCATGATTTACAAGTACACTTTTAAAAATAATTAAGTTGTCTTCAAACAAAAATGATTTAATAACATATGTTTTAATTTCTGGAAAATCAAATATCTGTTCATGCAAGAGTTTGCTTTTCATTTCACATCTTGGAATTAAAAAAACGAGGACATGTGCTAATTAACATAATTACAATCATTAATTTATCTACCTCCAGGTCCAACGCTAAAACTTAATAAATAATAATAATAAAAAGGTCTAGCGCTAATTAAGATAATTACAATAATTAATTTATTGGCTATAGTATTAATATTAATTGGATAAGAATTTATTATACCTTAATATATATATATATATATATATAACATAATGATTCAATTAAATTGATGTGTGATTGAATCAACCAATGCAACTTAAAATGAACTATAGTTAAAAAATTAAGGTATATAATTAATACATACCTCCCATTGTTGAAAAGCCTCTTCAAACTTTGGGTGTACGTTATACAGAATTGTAATCTTGATGGGTAGCTCATTAATAAGATCGCTATCCAAAGGTCCAAGGTTAGTATGTCGGTTGAGAAGCCCCAGTAGCACCACATTGATGTTCCTATGCTCACGAATTTTAAATTTTAATAACTCTTTAGTCGTCTCACGTTTCAAAACTAGTAGTTTAAATTTGAACTAGATAGTTGTTTTTTAGATATCTTCCTCCTTGAATAGGTGAAAGTTAGGTTGTTGTCTCTCTTCCAAAATAGTCCCGCTATAGGCAGTAGCAGCAACCACGGAGGGTGTTCATCCTAGTCCCCACCCACGGTGTTTGAAGGACTAGCAGCAAAAGCAGATGATGAAGAGGCACCACATGTTGTATAAAAAATAGGTAAATTAAAATTGGTAGAATAATTAATATAAGAAAAGATTAATAAGATAAAAGTTGATAAACACCAGGTATGGACAATGATCCAGGTGGATCTTCCGTACGTAATACAATATGACATTAAATCCATATCATATTATGTTACTTAATTATCATTTTATTTAATTATTATAAACCCATTAAAAGTTTTCGGTTCAAACCTAATGGATTTGAAACCGCTCAAACTTAAAAGTTTATATTAATTAAACTTTTTAAACCATACATGACGTAAGGTTTAAAATCAATTGTTATTTTTAGTTTTCATTTTTAGAAAACTCATTCTGTATATAAATTGACTATTAGAATGAATTAATCAATCAGTTTTTATTCGATTCTATTCCATTCTCCATAGTCATTGTGTTTATTATTCTTGATTAAGAGTTCCACAAGAAACCTTTGATCAAGTGGTATCAGAGTGAACAGATTCTGCTGTAGCATGTGGTTTATGGTCTCAACTCACAAACAAATCGAGGTTTCGAGTGAAGAACTTGTTGGACCATTAATTTCAGAAAAAGCTCTTCAACAAAAGAAGAAGAAAGCAATGGCAGAAGGAGAAGGAACCGATGCTAAGATTGCGTTGTTGGCGCAACAAATGGAGAAAATGACTCTGATGATGGCAAAGTTGGTGGAGGACTTGCATGCAAACCTCAAGATGAGATTCCCGAAGATTCCAGGAGGAAGACCTCAAGAACTTAAACATCCAAAGTTAAGAAAAGGGTGCAATTTAGTGAAGAGGAAGATTCCGATGAGGAAGAGGAGACTGCAGAGGAGTTTGGTGCAGGTCAAAGCCAAGAGAAGGAATCAGATGCTGATAAAGCTGGTAAGTCCAAAACTTCTATGAATGGTCTTAAAATTGATGTTAAGATTGATATTCCAGCGTATGATGGTGAGATCAATACCGAGAAGTTGGATAATTGGATAGACCAGTTAGAAACTTATTATACTATTTATGAGTATAATAATCGTCAGAAGATCAACGTTGCAACGTTAAAGTTGACCAAGCATGCTTTGACATGGTGGAAGGCTTATAACAAACGTTATAGTATAACGACTATGACGTGGAAAAAGTTTAAGCGAGCCATAAGAAAGCAGTTTTACCCTGTTGGCTTCGAAGATGATAGATGGTTCAAGTGGCAGCATTTGAGGTAGAGTTTTGGACAGTCGGTACAAGATTATGGAGCCGAGTTTCAAAATCAGGCTATGGTGTTGGACCTAGACTTGGAAGACTATGAACTCCTTATGAAGTTTATTGGGGGCTTGCAAGTGTATATTCGAAAAGAGTTGCGATTGTTCAAGGTTGAAGACTTTGAAAAGGCAATAGTAATGGCAATTGTCATCGAATCAAAGAACAAGAAAGTGGACAAAAAGGAGGACAAGAAGGATTCAAGGAAATTTGAAGTTGGGAGTAGCAGTAGTAAAAATAGGGAGCAAAGTTCTGGAAAGAAGCAGACAAACTGTGAGCATTGTAAC